GTAGCAGGTCGGTAGCAGGGCGCTTGCAATTTCTGGAATTCGTCCCTTGAGTAGACTTATTTCCACCCCCTACACGTGGAAATACGCCTACGGAAGATTGGAAGGGACGCATTCCAGAAAACACATCTATATAGTCTGCCTGCCAAGCCTTTCCTTTCTACTTTGCGGCCTCTACCCTCCTGGTCAAACTAAACAAATGGTTTGGGCTTCGCCACTCACTATCTAACATGTTAACATCTACCCAAAAAATCAATAATCGGTTTGCAGCTTGCACCTCACACATCTGCGCCACGCCACGCAATACAGCTTTGGACCCAATCTACATCACTCCGCACTTTGCACCATGCCGCACACCAAGGTCATCACCACTCCGCGCACTGGTTTTTGGGCCCCTTCAACTTCCGCACCATGCCGCGCACCAAGGTCAACACCACTCCGTGCACCAGTTTTGATGGTTTTGGGGCCCCTTCAATTTCCGCACCATGCCGCGCACCAAGGTCAACACCACTCCGCGCACCAGTTTTCTATCCAAATATAGGAAAACAGATGTTCACGTGTTAAGCGTATCATGGGCTGATCAAATTATCTCTTTGAATATTGTGTTTTGGCATGGCTTTGGCTTGCGGATTATGTTCTGGTGTTTGGCATTTCATGTTGGCTTTGAATTAACCCATCATCGGAGCTATTGCCATCATCCATGTTGGAACCGGTGGTTTCCTCCTAGCGTGAGCTGCATCCATACTTGAGCCACACAACGCCTGGCCATTTTCCACCCACTCAAAAAAGAATATTGGTGCGCGGCGCCCGCGGGTGTAGCCAACAGTAACCCAGCATCCTAGAAAAACTGTTGATTTGACGTAAGCTGCCCGGTGCCCACATTATTGGGAGAACATGGCTGGGCGCGACAGTGAGCCTCAGCATATGTTGAATGGTGACATGATGGTGCCATTTCTGGAGAACGCCGCTGTGAGAGTGGAGGCCATCTAATACATCTGGTAGCAATTTTCCACTATGACTATGATCACCAAAAAAATTCAATCACCTAGATCAGAGAAGGATTAGATCAGAGCAGGGTCGCATGAAATTTTTTTGTTTTTTTTGCATTTTCACATTTTTTAATCAATTTTCCACATTTTTAATCATATTTTCACATTTTAAAACATTTTTCACATTTTTTCTTCACGTTTTTTTCATTTTATTTTTTGTTTTAAGAAAAGTTACTATTTTTGGGGAAAACACCTCAAACACAACATGGTCCATCAAATTGTGATTCTTGGGGAGAAGTTATCCTAACAACTGAACACATTTGACGATGATGTCATCCACCACGTGCAGGACGAACCTTAGACGACAGAAGTTACTAAGTGGAAGTTGCTTGACATACGTCACTGAGCGGGAAATTAAGGCATCTGGTAGACGCTGGTGGTGCTGGACACCATCCTCTTGCAGCTCTGCCACTGCTGTTACAGCAGACGACTCCTGCTGCAAAGGAATGCCTGCAGCCTTGGGCGGGACAGTAGACGACGACACCTGCTCATGCTCATCTTGTGACGTGTAGGTGTCACCTTCCCCCACCTGAGACTGAGGTGGGTGGAACATCTGCTGAGGCATCATCCCACCATACATCTGGGGCATCATAGGACCACCAAACATCTGCGGCATCATACCTCCAGGCAACATAGGCGGCGCCCCACGAGCCTTTTTCTGTGCCCGGTTCACTGCACTGCGCACCGACATGGCAACAGCACGGTCTAGTCAGACACAAGACGTTTGAGAAGACAGCTGACTGCAGCAGTCATATCACGCTCCAGTTCGCACGTACAATTAAATTTTTGCATGTTTTTGCATATTTTTGCATATTTTCTCATGTTTCGAGATTTTTCGAGATTTTTTGAGATTTTTTGAGTTGTTAAAATTATTTTTCCTTTAATCCCCTCGAGATTTTTTGAGATGTTTCGAGATTTTTTCGAGATTTTTCGAGATTTTTGAGATTTTTTGAGTTGATTTCTGCTAAGATTTTCATTTTATTTCAAGATTTCTTTTTATTGTTGAGATTATAGCTTACAGCAGACTACAGCAGACAGTAGGTTCACAGCAAGGACACAAAACAATTAACTGTGAAATAAAGTCAAAAATGGTCCAAAGTCATCTATACTATCAATTTCTGACCTAAGTGGTGCACCATGGTTCAAAAACATGCACAAACATATCTGGTTTAACTTTCTCAAACCTTTAAACAAATAGGTTCACCAAGTGCTCACAAACTGTTCATCGTTGAGATTATGAGTTCATCCATGCAACCCCGTTTTAGTCACATGTTAATCCAATTTATGCCCAATGGGTTCTCACAAGTTCTTACGTGTCCAAACGTTGGCCATGTTATGTTTTTAATCATTTTTTTATCATTTTTTAAACATTTTTTATCATTGTTCTCATTTTTTATCATTTTTTCATTTAAAACATTTTTTTGCATTTTTTATCATTTTTTTCATTTAAAACATGTTTTTGCATTTTTTGCATTTTAAATCTCTTATCGAGATTTTAAATCTTATTGGAAAGTATTCCATTCCAAGAACTCTCCGGTGCAGGGTATTGAATTTTTTTGGTGATATGAGAATTGCAAACATACATTTTATTGAATCTTCCACTGCGTTCTGAAGTGGTAGCCAGACCAGACATGAACCTAAACCAGAAGCATCATCTTTGGGGTCATGCCCTTCCCTTTCTGATGCACAGCACGTTGCTGGACGTCAGCTCTGCAGTTCAATGGCCTCAGCATCATCTTCAAAAAGTTGGAATTGTAGAGCCGGGTTGATTTCAATTCTTCGGTCCATGTATGTATGCATGGCGCGTAAATCAATTACATGGTGCATTCATGCGTGGCTGAATGTCCATACAGGCATGTGGCTTGTATGGTTTTAAAGATTGTATGTCTGCGTGTATGTTGATTGGGTTGGTGGATGGGGTTTTTCAGCTACCCACCCAAGCCAAGCTTCAGACCAAGTGGATGTGTGACGCTCTCACAGTGTTCCGAAGATGCAGTGACCCTTGCACTCTCACAGCGCTGCACTCTCACAGTGCAGGGTTTGCAACGCCAGCGTAGAAGAAGGTCAGGATGATGGTGCCTGAAACTGCGTACCTGATCCAGCCACAGCCATGATTTGCCCGCAGTCCGACAAGACTCACAAATCATGATTCGCCATTGCACCTCAACTTCAAGAAGCGGTTCCAAAGACGTCTAATATTGAAAAGAATCAAAGTCCACCTGGATCCAAAGACTGAGTGCTACGCCAAGGATGATCCACACCATAGGCTCCATTTCTAGCGCTCTCACAGTGCTATCTAGGGATATTTATGGCACAGTGCTGTCTATGGACATCTATTGCTGCAGTGTGGTCTTTCTGTCAAATAGATTCCAACACTGTAGTTTGGTTGGCCAACATGAAAATGACCATTAGGAAAGTGAAGGCTGCAGCACTTTCACAGTGCCAAACTGAAACTTCCAGTTGGTCACACTGGCACTCTCACAGTGCATTATTTTGGTCGCGCCATGGCACTCTCACAGCGCAATACTAGAGGTTCATGTTAGGTCCTGATGGCACTCTCACAGTGCATGAATGACTAAAGGGGCAATCTCAAAATGTCTCAGTACCATACTCAAGATTCATGTTACTCTAACATTGGAATGTCCAGCTTGGTAAAGGCACTCTCACAGTGCAATACACAAGGTTCAAGTTTAGGTCAAGACCGCATTCTCACGATGTGATGCTCCCACTTTTCCCAAAGTAAACAAAATTTGAATGCACTTTTATAAATACACAAAGCACTTTTACAACAACAAAGCTTTCCTGTCCTGCTACGCTGACAAAAAGGGCTGGAGGTGCTAGACCACATAGTAGCACAGGTCATTGGCCAGTGCAAGTCCGCATAGGCAGCCCACGCGATGGCCACAGAGCGGCCTGCTGCATTGTCGACTGCCCAAAACGGGCTGGCGTCGCAGCGCAGGGTTTGGGGCCCGCCGGCAAACGACGCCATCTATTTCCACACCAAAAAGGGGCCGCAGTCAGCCAAAATGCCTAACGTGCCTGGCACATCGCCTTCGGGAGCCTATAGAACAGTTGTTTGGCACGTGCCAGAGGCTCACTCCCAAGGCTCCCGACAATCTGCTCTGCCACGCCTTTCCACCATCCAATTCCACACCAAAAAGGGGACGAGCCGACCGCATCGTAGCGATGGCCACAGACCAATCCCACGTGATGCTGTAGTAGCAGACGCTGACAAAAAGGGCTAGAGGTGCTAGACCGCATAGTAGCACAGGTCATTGGCCAGCGCAAGTCCGCATAGTAGCACAGGTCCTTGGCCATGGCTTCTCGCTGCGCTGTCCCGGGCCGCCCCCTAGGCATCGGCTAGGCCAGGGTCGGCGGATATATGCACTCGCCCAAGCCACCGTTTTGCCATTGCAGTGTCAAATCAGCTGAGTCGTGTTTCGAAGGACCTGTCCAGCACATCTGTTCAGCGGCTTGGCAAAGTTACTGTTTTGCCAAAGTACCATGTGGCGCGTGCACTTTTGTCCAAAATAGCGTCCGCTGTTGCAACGCCGAGGTTCTACCGAACAGCGAAAAAGAATAACCAATGCTGCAAGATGTACTGAACGTCGGAGACCTCCCGAAGGGGTCCAGGCCCTTTGGCGTCGGAGATGACCGAACTTGACAGGGTATGACGGGTATGTGGATGTTTCAGTACGCGCAGAACCCGAAAAGTCCCTGGGCAAATGGATAGGCTACGCTGAACTTTTGTTATCTTTTGTTTGTTGTCCACCAGGAAACGGTGTGCCGTTGGTTGGGCATTCCACATGCTATTTAGAAATTGTTACGTTTTAACATCCGCTTGTTGATGTCCCAGGCTTACACATCTATGCAGCCCTTTGCCTTTCTCCAGATGGCTGCAAGAGAATGTAAATCCTGCTCCCGTTTCCTTTAGTTGGGTTTCACTTGAAGGTTAATCCCTTCATTTCAGACCGGTTTGGGATGATGTAGTTCGACTACGGACACAGACCAGCTTGGGACCTCTACTCCAAGTCACCAAGGACAACGCCCACATGCCGGCTGGGCGGTTGGACGCAACCATGGCGTTCAAGTAATCTAAGTTCTCAGGATACCACCTACACCCTCCCTTGGAAAACCTCGGACCCTCACAGATCCACGCCGCTTGCGGCCTAGGTATTCGGGACCCCATCCCCATGTGTTTCCTTTTTACTGGAACTAACCTCTGTATGGTCTCACACTTTATGTACATACATGACTGATACATTTGGCTCAAGACTGAGAAAAGCCGCTGGCTTTCACAACGCAACTGCATTCGATCCGTGTCCGAGCATCGTCTGATTGGACCTCTCTCGAGACCGTGTTCTTTCCAAGGGAAATCCACTGCATTGCACTTCGTGTCAATAGTGGTAGCGGAGCCTGCTCGTGATGTCCACGTCAGGCGATGATGCTACGGACCTTGCCTGGTCGAGTGTAAGTAAGTCCTAGTGCCATGACAGCCATGCCAGCATTTGCAACGCGTCAGTCCCACGAGGAGTCGATGTCCTTGCGTATGAACGCTAAGCTGCCGCCTGTCTTTGATGGACGAGTAAGTTGGTTTAGGTACGAGGAGGCAGTCGATGACTGGTTGTCAATAACTAGCATTGATAAGCCCGAGCGTTTCGGACCACTGCTTAAGTCCAGATTAACTGCCAATGCCACGATGTATAGAGGGCTTCCAGATAATGATCGTCTTGGAGATCCTGAGAATGGAGTTAATTACTTCCTGCAGACTTTAAGACCGTATTTCGTAAAAGGAGCTCAGAATGTTGAATTCGTGACATTCATCAGCAAGTTTGAGATTCTCTTACGCCGGCTTCGTGCCTCATGGATGGACACCATGCCCAGAATAGAGCTGACTGCAGAATTCCATGAACAACTTGCTAACTACAATCCTGTAGGTGCAGATAGAGCTCGTGCCGTTTATACCCCATTGCTGGTTGATTGTATAACACAGCAGCAGCGTCAGGAAGTGCACCACCAGCCCGACCACCTGAAGCCGATTGGACCGATAGAACGCCCGCAAGCCAGGATATCTTGGACAAGTGAAACCAGATCTGTCAGGACCGACATACTTGTTTCCATTCACCAACAATTTCGTAGCTTTGTTCTTTATCATCCGGCCCGATCTTTCAGATGGTCAGCATGAACGGCTAACTAGTGAACTGCAGAGAAAGGGAATTCTGATTCACCTGTATGACCTAGAGACTATTAAGCAGGAGTACTATGACCTCTTCATACCGGGTTCTTCAAAAAAACAGCCATCAAGTCAGGGATGAAATAGAATTCTTGAATCCCCCTTATCCCCCCAGCTCAACGTTGCTGATTGGTCTCCTGACATGTACCGACCTGAATGGCTGTTTTTTCTGAAGGCCCGGCCACTGACACCGAACCTGACCCGACAACATTGAAGTTGGGGTGCAAGGGGTTGAGACGGTGACGTGGAGCGACTCTGGCGATGGCTGCTTTTTTTGAAGAACCCGGACTCAAAAAAGGCACACGAGAGTTCGCATCTGTTTTTCGTTGGGGCATAGTCTGCGTGTTTGCGGTTGAGACATTGACTTAAGTTAAGCTGCGCAAGCATGTTGAATTAGAGACGCTAGCAAGAAGAACAAGAGTGCAGCTCATGACCATAGTCGGTTCATCACCTTCCTGGCTTGTAGTGGCTTCAACCCCAAGTTGTCAATGAGATCTTCTAGGGACAGCTCACAAAGCATTTGGCCATCAACGCCGTTCTCCTCAAACTTTGGCGCCAAGTGGCTCAAAGAAAGGTGATGCAAAAACGACACTACATCTGCAACTGACCTAGATTCAGCTTCTTCCAGAAGGAGGCTG